AACTTTTCGAGATTTTCCTCTTGATGTAAAAGTGAATCTGAGATTCATTGAGATGTATTTCTTAGATTATTTGGTCAAATAAAAGCTGAAGTTTCCGAAATGCTTCATATAAAGGAGGGAGGTCTAATTTGTGTATAAACATGTGATATCGTTCAATGATGTGTACTCGTTTACCTAATTTCTGAAATAGTGCTACACTATCGATGAGATCGAAGGTTATATCTTCGGACTGGACTACTGCTAGGATCGTTAGGCAAAGGATTGTTAGATAGGGATTCATTGTCATCCTGTAACAAAGATTTCCCTATTATTTTTCGCGGCTTACGCACCTTATTTTTATGTACAATACCAATTTCAGTTAAGATTTTATTGTCTCTATCCTCTAAAGCGACTGTTTCTTTGAATTTTGGGTGATCTTTAGGTTTCCTTGGTTCTGTTTGAATATAAACAATTTGATCTGTTTGTATTGGTTCAGGTTCTGATAATTGTTGGTTTTTCTTTTCGATAACTTTTGTTTTGTTGTTTGGAATTCTTTCTTTAACTTGGTTATGTAAGAGTTGTAAATTTTCTCGATGATTATGAGTATATTGATTGATGATAGTTTGTGGGGAAATCTCAAATGGGTTAGTTTTTGGGCCATGGATTACTTCGAAAGGTGTCATCTTGATTGTGGAGTGAACTGAATTATTATATTGTAAGATAGCTAAGGTCATGAGGTACTTAATTGATTTCTGATGTTGTTGTTTAAGACATCTTATAGAGTCTATCAGGCTTGAATGAAATCTTTCAACAGGAGAAATTGGAATTTAAATGGTAAGGGGTAGTGAAGTGTAGTTCTATATTGTGTAGAAGGCAAAAGTCTTTTATGATTTGGTTATTAAATTCAGTACCATTATCTGCGGTGATTTTGTGTGGTATACCCAAGTGAGATATGAATAATAGTAAGGCTTCCATGATATTAATGCTATTTTTTGCTTCTAGGCAATATGCTTGTCCATATTTTGAAAAAGGGTCAAGTATTGTCAAGAAATGGTTTTTATCTATAATGAACGTGTCAATGTGAATGTGTTCGAAAGGGAATGAGGGCGTTTCAGATATTTTTAATTTTATTTTTTCTGTCATATTTTGCCACTAAGCCTGTTTGACAAGTATTTATATAATTGGTAACGTCTGTTTGTATATTAGGCCAGTAATAGTTTCTATTGATTGATTTAATGGTTTCTTTAATTCCTCGGTGGCAAGTTTTACCTTGATGGTGATATCGAATAATTTGTTGTTGTTCTGGTTCGTTAATAATGTCATCTAAAACTTTGTTAGCTATTAAGAGTTTTGAATTACGATGATGCCTGAGGGACGTTCTTAAGATCCGCGTTATTTTTCTTTCACTTGAGGGAGTAGAAAATTTAAAGCAAGTGATAAGCAACGGAGTAATTAAGTGACGGAATATATTAAATATGTATTTTGAATCACAAATGTTACTAGGGACTGTATTTGATTCTGTTAGTACAATTTGAGTTTTGTATTGATTAAGTGGGTTTTCAGTGTAAGGTATTGAGGACATTGGTTCTTCTTGACTTGTGTGGACAGTTTGGTTATCTGGAGGGTTTTCTGGTGATATTAAATCATTCAGTTCTTCGTTACTAATTTGGGGTATCTCTGTATCTTCTCTTAATATACTGTCTATTATTGTATCAAGGTCGTCGTCAATTTGTACTTGTGTACTAATATTGTCATCAGTGTTGTCGTTTTCGTTTAGATTACATTCTATTTTGATGCAACTTAACGCATCAGCTACTTTGTTTTGCGTTCCCTTCTTGTATTTTATTGTGTAATCGTATTCTTCTAATTTTAGTCTCCATCGTACAAGTTTACAATTCGCTTCTTTTAATGAGAAAAGCCATTGTAATGGTTTATGATCAGTGTATATAGTGAACTTAGTGCCGTAAATATAGGGTCTGAATGTTTTGCATGCCCAGACGATTAAAAGAAGTTCTTTCTCTATTGTTGAATAATTGATTTCTGCCGGGTTTAATGTTCTAGAGGCGTAACTAATGGGTTTGTTATTTTGAGAAAGTACTGCGCCTATTGCGAAATTAGAGGCGTCAGTAGTGACTTCAAATGGTTTCGTGAAATCGGGAAATGCTAATATAGGGTCATTTGTTAATAAAGTTTTACAAAATTCAAAACAATAATCTTTAGTGAGTTCAATCGTTTCATTCTTCTTTAGAAAGTTTGTCAAAGGTTTTGTTATTTTTGCGAAATTCTCTATAAATTTCCTATAGTAACCTAATAATCCTAAAAGTGATTTGATTTCTTTAGTAGTTTTGGGTATGGGAAAATTTTGGATAGCTTTAATTTTTTCTGGATTGGGTTCGTCCGTCCGTCGGGTGTTATTACGTGTCCTAGAAATGTCACTTCTTTCCTGAGAAACTCGGATTTAACTAGTTTAAATT